AAACTTCTGCAGGTTTCTAACATCCACAGTTGAACCCATAGATCCTCTTATCTCATCAAGCACTCCGGAAAGCTGTTTTAGTTACGCCCTTTTATTTTACTTTCTAGGTTAGTCGGTTTACCGAAGCGTTTCATCTCTCTGTGGTATAGGAACACAGAAATTGCAGCATTAAATAGTTCTTTTAATGTTGCGCCCTTAAGATCAGTTGTGGAAAGCTTTTAGGAATCTTTAACCGTCAGTAGCATCGAGGTAGCTTTAAATTGTGCGGACCTATTTGAGACCCTACTCGAGACATAATCGGTGGATCGTAAGAGTTTAAAGTACGAGCATAAACAGAACTATTTTCATTGTTTCATTTTTATATGATGCGATCGGAACATTATTGCTGAGCCCCATCAGAGAAATTTGAATTGACTTTAAGCACAGATATCTACACGTTGCAAAGCTTCCAGGAAGTTCAACTAGATAAGTTCACCACAAACGAATGTTTGGAAGTCGTTCTCTTTGAAAAACACTGGTTTTAGAAAATTCATCTTTAGTTTACACTAAAATTTTCGGCTTGTCGAGATTCTCGCATTGTTCCTGCTGCAGAATCGAGGAGCGCCTCCTGTCAGCACTCCATCAAACATCCTCCCCTTTACCCCCATAAAGTCACAACTTTTAAAATTTTATCGCACTTAAATTTTAAGCCATGAGGAGGGGGTTGGAGAGCTCCAAAAAGTTCAAAGTAAAACTCGATGCAGTGAAGTTGAAGTACGGAGGGGAGTGGAGTTGGATGCCCCACCTACACCGTAGGGAAAACGTAGGGGAGGGTGCGATCGAAACAGCTGCACGCACGTGGCACCATCACTGCTGGTGCTGCCCCACTTCCTTGAAGGATGATGATGAGGCAGCACAGGTGGGTTGGTGTTGGTGAATGTAAGTCCTCGTGACATATTTTCACGCTTCTGTGGCTCTGGTTGTACACAAACGCAGGCATGCACACAAAATGACGAATGAGGCCATGCAGTTGTCAAGTAACAGCAACAGGCACCTCCTAATCGGCGATCCTCGCCTGAAAATACAACAAAACCCACTTTATTTAATGCTTACGCAGAGTCCACTCAATACGGTCTGGATGTTGTTTTAATTTTAAATGCTACTAGTGACTCAAGGAGAGTAGCAATGAAGGGAGTAGAAGTGAAGTTGTCTTTTGCTCAACTACACTGCTTATGTTTCGGTAAAACAATTGCCTTTGCATAATTCAAAAGCCTAGTCATTCTTGCTTCGAATCAAGCAGGGTTCTCAGAGTAGAAACTCTTTACCCAATAAATGATGCATAAACTCATTGTTGTGGAAATACCGGATTATACAGGTTGGTCATGGACAGAAGACCCCCAATGTATCAACCAGCCTGGCGGGTTGGAGACGGCGGGTTCGCCAATCGGCAGCCAGTCGTGGCACGAGATGACGGGAGGACGGTGCTACAACTTTTCTGCCGAGCTTCTTTTTGCAGGATCGGGAGAGGGAGCCCCGACAGGGAAGACAGAGGTTACTTCAGAGATAACCAATTCAAGTCAACCTCATCGTCGTCTTGATCGGAGCAAACGAGTTAGTGGCAATGACATCACAAGATGCACAACCGGACGCCTCAAAAGCAGAGGAAGTGCGCATCGGGTCCCAAATGAAGGTGGAGTACAGCAGCAGACTGATCGTAGGCCTTCCTTTGATGATTTACCACTGACTAGGTAAAATTTTAGCAAGCTACTATCAATTTCCCTGCTATCTCATCCCTCAGTTATGCTAACAAACAATATCCCGCCTGTGATTCAAACTGTCACCATCTTCTAGATCCTCCTCACACTCCCAATGCCGTGGTCTGCTGGAGGTGTAACAGGGTAACATCCCATTCGGTGACCCGCAGTAGCAGAAGCAACAGAAATTGTTCCAGTACTGTCCGAAGTGCAATGCGCGTCTGCGACCACACTGATGACCTATCCGCTCCCCTCTCTGTAGAATTAAGCGATGTAAGTCATCATCCGATACAAAGTTGTGTAAAACTATTCTCGTAATGGTTTCATTGGGTAGTATTAATTAAAGCTTTGAAGGATCCTTAAGTAACGAAAGAATAACAAAAGAGATGGTTTTCAGTGAAACCTGTCTCCATTTACGTAGCAAAAGCAGTGAAGTGGCCACGGCACTGGGAGCCCTTAAGCTAATACAATTGTGAAGAAAGGGCATGTATTACAAACAGGTCTTTCCCAAGGGTTTGGAGGCACCAGAGCGCCAGTCATCGGCACCTCCATTTGTAATGACGAGTCAGATGAACTCCTACGAGGAGTGCGCAACGGGAATGCCCTCGACGTCCCTTCAGACTCCGCCCTACAGTCCAAAACAGAGTTTGCAGCACCACAGTCAACACCTGCAGCATTCTCAAAATTATCATATCCTTCAACAGCAACAACAACAACAACAGCAACAACAGGAACAGTCATCAGGCTCAGAGATGACCAGTTGGGCGTCGGGATCATCGAGAAACACGGCCTCGAGTACAAGTGATCCGTCGCCGTGCTTCCTTGGAACTAACGCAGTCTCACCGACAGACGTTTACTCCTACAACCAGACAGGTCGACAGATACCTTTATTTTGCATGCAATTTCGGGAAAATAAGACCCTAGAAATTCACATCAATGCTAAAAACCCAATATTGAGTTTATTTTTTGCATTTTACCTAATTTTTGATCTTGTATTTTATTCCATTCCACTTTTGCGGCAACCGCAGCTCAGTAGATGCCTCAACGCATTAATTACCGCGCCTCAAACTTAAAGATACTTAAAACAGCCTTCTTGAAGGCTTCGGAGTTACCAATGCCTGAATAAGAAGGCATTTTGTGTTCGTTAAGGGTCAACCTATTAACAAAGGCGGTTTTTAAGAAGCTACTAAAAGGAAACAAACCCCTGAAATCGAGAATATCAGTGTTCTTCACGAATTTCATTCCACTGAGATGGCAATATATATCACGATGACCGCTCCGGTTGAAATGTAAAATGAATCAGTAAATCACCTTCGTTAGAATGGGACACCAACTACAAACCCGACACACCTGCACTCTCACTTCCACCTCCACAGGCACCACCCTCAACACCCACCGGTCTGGGATGGGTGGTGTCCGAGTATACGGAGGGAGAGGCAGAGAGGCAGGGGGAGAAGAGGGGCCCCTGGCTTGACTCCTTTGGCTCCTCCTCACCAGTTCCTCCACCCTCGCCCTCACAGCAGCAGTCCCAGCGAGTTTCGAGTGGCGGTGGTGGTGGACAAATCCAGTTATGGCAGTTCCTGCTCGACGAGTTGCACGATCCCCTCTCCTCGCGTTACATCTGCTGGACGGGTCATGGAGCTGAGTTCAAGTTAAAAGACCCCAACGAAGTGGCTCGCCGATGGGGTCTGCGAAAGAACAAGCCGAAGATGAATTACGAGAAGCTGAGTCGCGGGCTGCGCTACTATTATGATAAGAAAATAATTGAGAAGTCTGCGGGCAAGCGCTACGTCTACCGGTTCTCCCCGAAGATTGAAGAGCTGATCAAGCGCACCAAGGGTGCTGGACTCAGTTTCTACCATAGTGGTGGGACTCTCAGTGGAAAAAACAGAGACGGCTTGCCTCTCTGATATGCCACTTAAATCTTCTAGTCCTCCAATTTTTTATGG